GTTTTGGGTTATTAGGGTTTAGGGTTATTAGGGTTTAGCATTTCTAGGGTTTAGGGTTTTTAGGGTTTAGGGTTTAGGGTTTAGGGTTTAGAGTGCACCCGCTCCTGAAAGGCTACATCTCTGTCCCAGCTGTCGGCCTTCGTAAAGAAGATGTGTCTCCTCTCTGCCTCTGCAAACCACAAACCCTAAACCCTAAACCCTAAACCCTAAACCCTAAACCCTAGACAGGGTTTAGCTTACGAGCAGCAGCAGCCCCAGCAGCAGCAGCAGCAGCAGCAGCAAACCCCAACCAGCTGNAGGGTTTAGCTTACGAGCAGCAGCAGCCCCAGCAGCAGCAGCAGCAGCAGCAGCAAACCCCAACCAGCTGCTACTACCCCTCCACCAGCACCTAGCGATAAACCCGCATAGCTAGCTAGCTAGCTAGCTACCTAGCTAGCTAGCTAGCTAGCTACCCACCTACCTAGCTAGCTAGCTAGCTACCTGCCCAGTTAGCGAGCTAGCTAGCTGGCTACCTGCCTAGCTAGCTATCCAGCTAGCTATCTACCTGCCTAGCTAGCTAGCTAGCTACATGCCTAGCTAGCTAGCTAGCTAGCTAGCTAGCTAGCCAGCTAGCTAGCTCACCTGTAGGAAAGGACTCCTGCTGGGGGGCGGGGGCTGAGGAGAGTTTATAACGAAACCCTAAATATGCAGAGGCGCCGAAAACGGCAGCCCCAGCAGCTGCATGCAGCATGCGTTGCTGCAACATCTCTAAACCCTAAACCCTAAACCCTAAACCCTAAACCCTAAACCCTAATTAAAAAAATTTAGGCCCTGGTGAGAGGTTTTGTTTTGTTATAAACAATTATTATAAAGTCATAAGCAATCAATACAAAACAATAACTCTAAACCCTAAACCCTAAACCCTAAACCCTAAAAAGCAAATTAAAAAGCAAACCCTAGGGACCCCCTTGTGTCTGCCTGGGTTAGCTTTTGGTCCCCAAGAGAAAAAAAAAGAAAAAAAAAGAAAAAAAAAGAAAAAATAAACAAAAAATAATAAAACTATAACAAAAAAAACATAAAAGCAAACAAAAAGAAAGGATTTAGGGTTTATTTTGGTGTGTTGCAGCGGGGGGCACTGGGGGCCCCCTGAGGGGGGCCCCCCGGGGGGCCCCNCCCCCCGGGGGGCCCCCTGGGGGGCCCCAGGCCATGGGGGGCCCCCGGGGGCCCCCCAGCAGTGAAAACTGTGTATATAATCCATCCGTTTATATATTATTTTATTTATATATATTAAATTATTTATTTATATTTAGAAAAGCATAAAAATATAAAAAAATAAATGTATAAACGCAGGGGTTCGGTGCCTCTGCTGGGGTGTATGTACACCCCGGGCATCGATGTGCTGCAGCTGCCTATACACCCCACAAACCCTAAACCCTAAACCCTAAACCCTAGTACACAAACCCTGAAATATAAACCCTAAACCCTAAAAATTCGAAACCCTAAACCCTGAGAACCCTAAACCCAAAACTACAAACCCTAAACTCTAAACCCTATAAACCCTAAACCCTAAACCCTAAACCCTAGACCTTGTAGAGCTCTCACAAACAAACAGAAGGGTTTAGGGCTCAGGGCCCGCACACTTGGTCAAAAGTGTTTAGGGTTTGTGGTTTAGGGTTTACGATATGGTGTTTAGGGTTTACCCGCAAGGGTTTAGGGTTTATTAGGGTTTAGGGTTTGAGCCTAAACCCTAAACCCTGCAACCAACCCACTTGGGTGTATGTACGCATACACCTGAGCTGTATATACACCTCAGCATGATGCCTTTGTTTTTTTTTTCTTTCTTTTTAATATATATATATATATATATATATATA